CATTTGTTATTTAATTTACTTATGCTGTTAAGTTTAAATGATTGTTCATTTAATACCTAACTCATTTCTAAGTAAGACAATACTGGAACATAATTTTGTGTTTATAAAAACTCAAAATTTTTACCTCTTATTTTTATGGTACAGAGAGGCTAAACACATTGTGATCTCTTAATGAATGTCTTCATTTTTGTCACATTGAGACATTATAAGGAAGTATATGACTATCTTAAAACTCGTGAGTTGTATATCTTTAAGCTCAGCTAGTGCTATAATATGCTAGTATATGACAGTTCACAATTTTCAGCTTCATAGTTTTCTTTGTGGGTATTGTAGTCTGCTAAGACTGCCATAAAAAAGTTTCTAAGACGAGGTGCCTGAAAAAAACAGAAATTTATTTTCTAGCAATTCTAGAGGCTAAAGTCAAGGTGTCAGCCGGGTTGGTTTCTCTGAGGCCTTTCTTATAGACGGCTGTGTCCTCAGTGTCCTCACGTGGTCATATGTCTGTGTATTCATACAAATTTCCAATTTATATAAGAATACCATCTTATTGGATGAAGTCCTACTCTGATAACTTCATTTTAAATTAAATGCCCTTTTAAAAGGCCCTATCTCCAAATACAGTCTGGAGTATTAGGAGTTAGAACTTTAATATATGAGTTATAGAATGACATTATTCAGTCCATAACAATTAGTGAGCATTTTTCATAAATTTGTTATACAATTGAATTGTGCTATCACAGAGTTTCATATTCATATCCTTTGACACTTTATTGTATCCTCAGAAAATTCTACCCAGCAATGAATTTGCCTCCTTTGAGATAGGAAAAAAGAAAATGGTGCTCCTGACAGGCAGGTAGTGAAGGCTGGTTTCCTTGTGTGATTTGACTCATTCCTGTCTGTTTCTAAGAGTTCTTCATGTGGGAGAGACCCTAACACTCAAATTTAACCTTCTAATTTTTTAAGATTTGTTTATGCACAAGATTTGTTTATGCAGGCCAGAGGTGCCAGGGGGTGAGAGGATTCACTGGAGACAGAGTGGGGAGCACAACAGGTGGATCGACTGAAATACACTGCTGAGAGGAGCAGCAGGTGAGACAGGAGAGGTCTGCTGCACCATGTGGGTATCTCGCTGGCCGGCCAGGATCAAAACTGCACTGTAGAGGCTGCAGACAGCTTCACAGCGCTGTGCTCAACCACCTGCACAACCAGGATGACCCCATAAGTCTAAGTTTTAAAATACCTAAGAGATTTTGGAAACTCTTCTAGCTGACATGTCATATAAGATAATTATTGTTGAAATTTTTCAGATTGATGTTTCAATTTGGTTAAACACAAATTTACATTTTTTTGTAATCTTTAAGATTTAATATGTAACACTAACTTATTGATCAGTAAACCTGTGCAAGTTTAGGGAAAAAAAATATTCAAATAGAATAAAAATACATGCTTGCTTTCTAATTAATGCTGAAGACTCAGAAGACATTGCTATTTTTATTAAACTATCAGAAATGCAGTTAAGAGGGCCTCCCCGGTGGCGCAGCGGTTGAGCGCTGGGTTGCAAAGCTGCCCGCGGCCTCTGCAGCGCCGGTTCGATCCCCGGCTGCTCCCCTGCCACCAGAGGAGGGTCCCACATGGCGCGCAGACCTCTCCTGCCGCCCGCTGCTCCCCTCAGCAGTGTACTTCAGTCCTTCTGCCTGCTCTGCTCCCTGCTCTGGCTCTGGTGAATTCTCTCACCCTCCCGCGCTTCTGACTGTACCCAGTGCATGTATAAACCAAACAAACAAACAAACAAATAAATAAATAAAACATGCCTCTATAAAAAAAAAAAAAAAAGAAATGCAGTTAAGAAAGGATAGATCTTAATGGACAATGATTACAAGTTTACCAAACATCCACCTCAGAAAGTTACAATTTTTTTCCCCTGGTGATGAAAATTTTTAAGATCTCCTCCCTTAGTACCTTTCAGAGACAACAGGTTGTTGAATGCTGGTTCCCTCAAAGTGCCACCATAATAGCCAATGGTGGAGGCCGTCATCGGGCTTGCCAAAGTCAGGGAAATGACTATCCTCAGAGGCTCTGGGTTTTTGGGAAGGTGAGGGGCAAAGGCAGGCTGCTTATGAGGTTTTAGGATTAGCTGGCTATTTTGATGCATATTTCAAACTTAATTCAAATTGACACGTTTATGACATCAGAGTTTAGGACTGGTGGACACAGTCAGGTGAAATTTCCCATGAATCTTAAAGAGTAAACAATCTTTAGATGCTATCTGCTTTTCTCAGAAAGTATATTTACTTCAGCGTGGGCAAACTGAATAGCCTATTAGTTGGATTAATTTTCAGGAGGTTCCTGGAACAAACAATAACATTATTTGCCATTTCATCTTTTTGGAAAAGAATTTCTGGAAAGACGAAAGTCAATAAGTTGCATGTGTGTAAACAGTAAGCGATTTCAATTTCTTAAAAGAAACCTCTGTTTTCTTTTAATCCTGTCTTTCCCCAACTCATTTAACCACAATAATCTCCTTTGTTCATAAAACCTGGTAACATGCAAGAGATCAGACCACAATAAACTAAACCAGGTAATAAATTCTATAAGAGCACTATGAACTATAGATTCTCAAAGGGCAGTCTCCAGGCCAGTAGCATCAACATTACTGGGGAACCTGTTAGAAATGGGCCCCACACGTGGCTCCCCGGTGGTGCAGTGGGTAGAGTGCAGTGCTGTGAAGCTGTCTGCAGCCTCTGCAGCACAAGTTCAATCCTGGCTAGCCAGGGGAGATACCACATAGCGCAGCAGACCCCTCCTGTCTTGCCCGCTGGTCCCCTCAGCAGTGTATTTCAGTCAGTCTGCCTGTTCTGCTCCCCACTCTGTCTCTGGTGAATCCTCTCACTGCCTGCGCCTCTGGCCTGTACCCCAGTTCTTGTATAAATAAATAAATCTAATTTAAAAAACTTAAAACAAAAGAAAGAAATGGGCCCCACCCACCAAATCAGAAACTGTGGGGGTGAGGTGAGTGATCTGTGCTTTAACCCACCCTCCCGGTGTCTCCAGTGCACGCCAGTTTGTGAAATGATGCTGTAAGCCCACCTGAAACTCTAACCACTCTCTTTTTATTTTTCTCCCCAATGAAATACAGAAATATGAGGCACTTAAAGCAGTTAATACCTGGCCTTCTTTCAAGGAAACACTCTTTCAAATGTTTGTCTGCAAGTGGGGAGTAGAGATGGGCCAGACCCATTTCGTGTGAAAGCTACGTGTTCCTTGTGACTCACACTCTTTTGCTCTCTCATCGCTGAGCTCTTTGAAATCAATATTCTCCTTGCACTGTAGCTGGCTCAAGAGTGAGGAATATAAAACTTACCAAGGTGTTAGAGGGGAACTGAAAGAGAAGGGATGGATGGCATAGTGTTTTGATTAAAAAACACACACAAAAAAAAAAACCCTACCTGCCCACTTGGGATCTCTCTCCTCCCTTCTGGGCTTGGGGCTCCTTCTGCTTCAGAATCCATGCTTTTTCTCTGACCATTGCTTCTAAGAGCAGTTCAGCTCGATCCCCATAAAAGTTTTGAAAGTCCTTACTCCACCTACTAGTTTAAACCATCTGCAGTGACATTTAAGGAATTTTATTGACGCTCAAGACTGTCTTGTGAATAAAAGCTGCCTAGGTCCGAGACGTCACCAAAGCTGGGTGGAATGAGGTGACATCAATTTACATTTCTCTGCCTTGGCAGGGAGGAGACTTGAGTTATGATTGTCTGATAGTTCCAGTTTGTTCATGTCAGATCCCAGGGTTCCTGTTAGAATGGTTCCGACCTGACTTGAGTCCTTTTAGTGTGGCTTGGCATCTGCACCTATTCTCCTCCCTCCTGATGCTTCTCGCGAGCAAAGCCCGGCAGGAAGAATGAAGACAGCCTAGATACAGGGACCTGAGTCCAGGAAGGAGGCCTCTGCAGGAGATCATTATAGCACCCCTGGTGAAAGGGGTACCTCCTTTCAGATGTTGTTGCACAATTAGAACCAGCTGGGGAGCTTATAAAACTGGCAACACCCAGGCCCATACTCTCATCAGCAACATCTGAAAACATGGTAGAGACTTCAGGCACCAGTATTTTTTTTAAAGCTCTCTAAATAATTCCTATGTGTATCAAATTTGAAAGCTGCTGGACTAGATGGTGTCCAAAGTTGCACAGTATGCTAGATCATTATAACATTCTCTTCAAAGTGCTTCAAAATAACTAAATGAATTGCTTTTCCATCACACTGTTTCACAGATGGAAAATCTGAGAAACAAAGGGGAAGTGTGACTCACATAAGGAAAGTCACAGATGAACTGTTAAAGGGGATACACAGGTGTCACCTTTACTGGGTGCTATCCCTACAAGGCAGACAATGGAGTAAATGCTGATCTATTAAGGCTTCCCGGGACCAAAAAGAATTTGGAGAAACTTTATGGAATTATCATGTATTAATTTTTGAATTAAGGTGGTATATCTCAGAAACCTGAAACCTGAAGAGGTAAAGTGATCATATTTTTTAAAAAAAAAAAAAAAGTGGTTTGGGTTTTAACGATTAAATCCTATTAAGCTGTGCTCCACCATAACATCAAAATAGTTTAACCTTGTTCCATAGCAATTCACATTATTCTGGAGATACTCATGTTCTCAAGCTCTGACTCAAACCAAATTTTAAAAAAATCAGACCAAAGGCACTGTCAGGTCACAAAAAACATATCCTGGTATCAACAAATATTGAAATTAGAGTGGGAAAAATCAGAGGAATGGAGTTGATAAGGGCAGAGTATTTGTTGTAAAAATTAATGGGCTTTAAATTTGATTTCATATTTCTAATTAACCTTTTCTCTGAGGAATTGAGTGTTGAAGTTAAAAATGATTAACTTCATCACTGCCATAGTTGAATCAGTCAAAAGAAGAGGAGAGTGGATTAATTTGAGCCAACCTAAATGTTAACTCCTTGTCATTTTCCCGTTTTGCTTTCCATAGTTCAAATAATTTCTGCGCTGCCATTAGCTGAAGACACTTGCTGAAAAGGAGAAACCATTTGATTTGGAGTTATTAGAGTGGAAACCTCCTGTCAACTCCACTGAAGACCTGTCTTACCTGGTTGCACTGAATATCCTACAGTCACATGGCTGGAGGTCAAAGTGCATCTAAAGTTGTCCCAGAAGCATTCCCTCACCAGCCCATAGCTGTGACCTGAAGTTCTTCCAACATAGATTCAACTTTGGGAATAAAATGTCATCTGCCATTCCTTATTATGGCAGATGTTGTGAATTCCCTGTTCAACATCTACACCCTCTTTTTCTTGCTAACCTAGGGTTGCCAGATAAAGCACAGGATGTCCACATAAATTTGAATTTCAGATAAACAATGGCTAATTTTTGATATAAATATGTCTCTTATTACATTCATATCCCAAAAGAAGTATTGTTTGTCAGAAAATCAAATGTAACTAGGAAACCTGTGTGTTTATTTACTAAGTCTGGCATCCCCACGCTAACCAAATGGAAATTCTGTTTATGACAGCAATATGCCCAGCGGCACTAATTGGATCATGGTTGGTCTAAATCAATCATAATACAGTTTCTCATTTCCCCAGATTTCTTGCAGTTGTGAATGTCCATGTGTCCATGGTCATTGAGACATTAACAAAAGGAACTCTGTGAGTATGCATGGGGTGCAGTTTGAAAAGGTTTTTTTTTCCTGGTAAAAGATCCATGACTTGTGGTTTTATGTTTGCTCTGTCCCCCCATCCTGCTCAGGGTGTGGATATGATGCTTGGGTACAGCACACACCTCCTAATTATTAGGGTGCTTGCCAAAGCACTATAGCACCAAGACGAATAGCCAGGAGCAGCCTTCCATGTGCCTCTCTTTCCTCTCATTTCCTCATCAATATATCCCTTTGTTCTTTCCACCTTCCCAGCAACATAGCATGCTGGGAATTGTAGTCCAAGGTGTCTGAGCTATCAGCCACATGGAAGTGGGGGCAGAGAAAATGGAGAGCATTCCCATGGCCACTGGATGCTCCTCCCCTTACCATGGCAACACACCATGTTACAAAAACACTTGTTGGTGAATTGTCTATGTGCTTTGTGTGGGTGGGAGGGAATCAGGAGAGCGATGACTACACACGTTTTGGCCTGAGCAACTAAATGGATGGAGTTATTACCAAAAGAGAGAAAGGAAAGTGGGAAAAGTAGGCTATGGTAGAGGATTAGGGGCTGCATATTGGATGTGACTGAGATGCTCATTTCATCCCCAAGTGGAGATGCTTACCAAATAGTTGGAATTATGAACCTGAAGTTCACAGGAGAGGTCCAGACTGGAAATAAAAAATGATGTCATTGTTAAATATAGATGTATTTAACAGCAGGAGGCTGGGTGAGGTCACAAGGAAGGACTGCAGACTGAAAAGAAAAAATGAGCTAAGTCTGAGTCTTCAGGCTTTATAGTGTTAAAAGGCTGGTTGATGAGAAGGAACAGCCAGCTTTGAAGGAGTGACAGAAGATAAACCAGGATTCAGTGCCTATTTGAAGAAAGGACAAAGAGTGGTTATTTATCTGAAATGCTGCAGAGATTACCAGATGAGTTCAGATAAGGCTACCAGATCTACATGGATAAGAGCACAGGAGGAAGCACTGGATTAGAGAAGGCTTAATAGAATTTGGAGACAGAAAATACAGACAATATTTATGACATGATCAGTTTCTTCCTTAGGTGCTCTGCACCATTCTGGAGAGCCCTGCTAAATGATTGCAACGCCTAAGGCAAGGAATGTGACCTTTCCTGGCTGATCACAATGGAGGTGAATTGATAGTCAGCTTCCAGAAAGCAGGCATCAGTAAACTGAGGCCAACAATGGCCATACCCACTCATTTATGTGCTTTTGGCAGCTGCTGTCACCACACACTGGTAGAGTTAGTAGCTGTGGCATAGACCATATAGCCCACAATGCATAAAATATTTTCTACCTGGGCCTTTTCAGAAAAGGTTTGCAAAGCTTTGCTGAAGAGAGAGGATGCAGGGTAGAAATGTGAATTAGGGCAGTGACTAAAGGAAGAAGGTTTTAAAAGATGTGAGAAATGACTTTTTTTTCTGTTGATGAGAAAGATTCAGTAGGAGAATGAAAATTGATGTCACAGAAGAGAATTGCTGGGTGATGTACTTAAGTTCTCTAGTATGACAGGAGACTGGGAATCAAGTGCCCAAGTGGAAGAGATGCACTTGCTAGGCTGTAGACTCACGTTTTTTGTCATCATTATTCTATGAAAATATGTACCGAGAGACTAGGCCTAACAATTCCGGTATCAACCTCACATATGAGAGAAATGTAAAACATCAACATGTATTTCAGTGTTTATTTGTCATAATTGGCAAAAGTAAAATGCTGATACTTGGCTTTGCTGAGTGTGTGAGTAAAGAGGCAGCCCTACATGTACCTGGTATAATTTCTAGGTGGCAGGCCCTGCCTGGTCTTCTTTTTCTTTTTTTAAGATTTATTTATTTATGCATACAAGAACTAGGGTACAGGCCAGAGGTGCAGGGGGTAAGAGGATTCACCAGAGACAGAGTGGGGAACAGAAAAGGCAGATTGACTGAAATACATTGTTGAGGAGAGCAGCGGATAAGACAGGAGAGGTCTGCTACACCATGTGGGTAGCTTCCTGGCCGGGGATCGAACTCGTGCTGCAGAGGCTGTGGCTAGTTTCACAGTGCCACCAGAGAGGCCCCTGCCTGGTCTTCTAAAGGTGCCATCAACCTAAGAAGTTTACCCTGTGAAACTGACCTCCAAATTACCTTTGCAGTGATTATTTAGGAATAAGCTGGGGTTGTTATTGAACCCCTTCATGGATGGGGTACACAGCTAGGGTCTCTAGAATATACAGGAGGGCTACAAGGCTCTGAGCTCCTTGTGAATACAGCAAAGGGAAAAATTTCAAGATCCCAGGGTTCTTGAATAAGAATTATTTAGGAATAAGCTGGGGTTGTTATTGAACCCCTTCATGGATGGGGTACACAGCTAGGGTCTCTAGAATATACAGGAGGGCTACAAGGCTCTGAGCTCCTTGTGAATACAGCAAAGGGAAAAATTTCAAGATCCAATAGGATCCTCACCTGTAGAATCCAGGGAAGTTTTCCCTTCTCACAAAGATGGCTGCTGAATCCCCACTCTGTCTGGTCTTCCTTGAGCTCAGATTCTTGTATCTTTCACCTACATTTAAGGATATTATTTCCTTTGACTGTTGAGTTACACAAAATGAAAGACTTTCATAGGCAGAGGAGAGCAGTAACAGTGAAGTTATGCTAGTCAAAACAGTGGGCTGGTTATTGCAAGATTATTTTAAGGGGACGGCAGGGTCTATCAGGCAATGAATTCTCTACTGCTAATCCCTTGATTCCTGATTGACTGGTTTAAGATTCCAGTTCTGGAGAGCCAAACCTAAATTAGGTCTTGCTTTGGTGACACTGGGCTTGGCATAAGCCACTCCACTCTGGGTGAAGAATAAGTCATCCCCAAATTTCACTTTCATGTTAGGGAGTTAACATGTCCAGAACAGGTTTAAGACATGTTACCTTGGCATATGAACTATTTCCAGCTAAGGTCCGTTGAAGGCTTCAAGAGAAAAATGTCACCATTTCCTTTACTACCTGGAAGAAAGCAGATTGTGAAGTTACCCAGATTTAGCATTATCACCAGAATTTTCCATTGGAGAAACCTATCTATATGGCAGGGCAAACATCTGATTACAGACATCTTGGGGGGTGGGGGTGAAGAGGTTTGGTTGTTGTTTTTTGTCATATAAGTCATTCTCTTCTCACCAGGTGATTCCTGCTCCTCTCTCTGTCCTTGATATTATTATCTTATTATAGCTCAAGGATAAAAACTTATTTATCCTTGGCCCCATCTTATTCTTTAGCTCAAGGATAAAAACTCTTAGTACTATTTACAGCCAAGTAAATTCCCCATAAGTATGTAACTCAACTTGTCCTCTTCTGCCTCCTAATCTGCCTGGTATTAATTTTATTGCTCTACCAGCCAGAGAAAGAACCTTAAGGGGCAGGGGGAAATTTCCTCTCTGCTCCTACATGAGCCTGTGACCTTATTTTTAGCAGAAAGTAAACCTGACACCTGTTACTCCCTCTTGACTGGAAATGAAAGTCTACCAAGCTCTTTATTTTAGATAATGCCAACTAAGTGCAGTGGATTTTCCTGTGCTACAGATTAACCATATTTACTACTAACATCTAAAGTATATAAAAAAGAGTGGGCGTTTCTATTTATGTTTAAACATAGTTTTAGATGCCACCACCAGAGGGCTCCTCTGGCATATTTTAAGCACTTGAATAAACCATTTATTTTTTTTTTTTTACAGAAAAGGCTCTTATTTATTTAGCATGTTTAGTTCACACACTGAGACTTCCTCACTCTTCTGTCTCCTTTAACATGCGGACCCACTCCCTAGTGTCCAGGACACACTGGTAACTTATTTCTCCTCCACCCACTTCAACCTGTTGTAGAGCAACCCCGATACAAAACGGGGTACCTGACTGTGGGTCCTCACCCGCGCGCTTAAAAGGACTTATCAATGCTCTACTGCAGGCACACATGAAAGGTTAATAAAAGGTTTATTTACAAGGGAAGGGGAAATGAGGAAATGTACAGCTCTGGGAGAAAAGTGGGAGACAAAGTTTTAAATGAGTTCTACCTGATCCACCGATCTGGAATCCCAAATGGCGCTCTGAGAGCTGGCCGCCAGCCAGGAGCGGTGAAGCCAGGAGGCGAGTGATCACAAACCAGCGAGAGCCCAAGGGCCACCTGTTTGGTTTTTATATCCAACCTGGCTACCCAACTCCACCCTCAGGTCCCAGCCACCCTCCCTTTGGTGGTGATGGGATTTGTCTTTCCCAATGTCTTGATGGCTTTAGTCTGGAGTAGGGGTGGGGTCCACAAAGCCTGTATGGGATTAACTCAGGACATCATTTCCCCCTAACAAACCCTTTCCTCTTCTTTTACTCTACCAAGTGTTTCACAATGGTGGAAAATTCCCCATGACTTGTAGGCACTCTCACCCTCAGAAAAGCATATGTCCCTCTCCAGGTGACTTCTAGACAGGAAATACTGGAGTCCAGGCATCTGCAGAAGTCAAGAGCTCCTGGAACATAGGCCTTAGGCGTGTCCTCGTTGCAATGTGTGCAGGTCCTGCCCGGTATATGCTCTCTCTTTTCAGTGTCTTCTGGACTTTTTAAACAGAA